GAGAGAGAGAGAGAGAGGGGGGGGGGGGGGGATGGGTGGGTGGGAAGCGACACAAGCCTGACCAAAAGGCCGTTTTTTTCTCACGTGGGAAGAACCTGAGCAGTTTTGAAAAAGAACGGATGGGCCGAGCTCGGACAATGGCCCAAAGCTTTCCCAGTGCTGCCAGATGGTTTGACAATGCCCCAAAGCTCTCCCTGAGTGGTCACATCTGGAGCTCGGAAAAATGCCTGCTGGGCCTGATTTGGAGAAATAAATTTAGTGCACGACATGCAACGCAGAAATACATTTTTGAAATTTGAAGGCAGTGAAGCTGACTATGATAAATTAGTATCAATACTTCGTCACAAACAACCAGCCATCCAATTGCTTTTCCATGCAGCTCATACCCCACAGACATGGATTTCGACGGCCATCGGGCCCTCTGTGGTCCAATTGCAACTGGCTGGGGAGGATCTAGCGGCCCTCCAAAAAACTTCCCCCCACCTCCCCCCCAAACACCACCGTGGCATGCAATGCAGGCCGAGAAGAGATTGTCGAAGCCGGTCCAACCAGCCTACCGGGTCGGCTGGGGCTTCAGTCCCCCCCTCCCCTCACCCCCCACACGCAACTGCCTCATGCCATGAAGATTGTCGAAGCCGATCCCATCAGCCTACCGAATCAGCTGGGGCTTAATCTAATCGACGCACACGAACCATGGCATTTGAGATTACACATTCAATGACAGACAGCGTTGCTTCTGAAAAAAAAAAAAAAAAACACGGAATCACCATCTGCCTCTGCTACCGGGGGTGATATGAGCATCCTAAACGGAGTCACAGTATCAATTTTTATAGCTGCAGGGAACAAGTTTGACAGCATGTGACTATCCCATGCAGGAATGAATCATACAGAGAATACACAATCGGCAATCACACTCACCTCGAGCTGAGCGCAGCTGAAATCCTCCGAGAGAGAAGTCGTCACAAAGTAGTCTCCAATGTGTACCTGCAGAAGGTTGAAAACCCCCTATTAGTTAGGCACAGTGCCTTTGGAGAGGGGAGGGGAAGCATATGGAAATAGATGTGGGAGAACGAGGGACAAATGAATGGAGGTACCTGCTTGACGGCGAAGGGTGCAGAGAAGTGAAAGAAGTACACACTGCCGGTGGTCAATAAAAAGGTACGGCTGATTCAACCAGCCATGAGAAGTTTGGGCCCATGGCACTGATGCGCAACCCTGAGAAGTGAGTAAACTCGTATCGCGCACCGAGCTAGTGAAGCAGCATTTCTATGCACCCTCCTAGAAATACTTTGTTTGGAACCTCCCTACTCGACATGTGTGTATGTGATCCATATGCAATTGTTACCTGGTCCTCTTCTCAATCATAGAGCTCCCTCCCCTCGTCTCCTCTTCTAGTCCAAAATCTGGCAAATCCCGCATTTGCAATGAACCTCGCAATATCAAACCACTTCGCACATGCACCATGAGAGCATTCACATGAAGATTCACACCACTCTGAAGAGAGAACACATGAATCAGCGCCAGATATGTTTCCACTAAAAAATATGATATTATACAACTGGAGAGTTCAACTGACCAGTGGCAACTGCCGCAACTCAACACTGCAATCCCGGCTCAGGTATGGACTCCACTCCCCCTTCTCCTGGTGCCTCACTTCTCCCTCCCTCTCTCTCTCTCTCTCTCTCTCTCTCTCTCTCTCTCTCTCTCTCTCTCTCTCTCTCTCTCTCTCTCTCTC